TTGGGTAACATGTACGTGCACGTCGCCACGTTCCTCCTGCTCTGCGTTGCTCCCTTCTGGATCTTCAACATCGCGGCTCTCAACATCCACAACTACGTCATCGGAGATGTCATCGGGATCGCGGGAGTAGTCCTCTGCGCGTTCGGATTGCTGTACGGGGGGTTTTGGAGGATTCAGATGAGGAGACGGTTTAGACTCCCGAGGGATGCCTTCTGCTTCGGCTCTGCTTCGCTTACGGACTACGTGAAGTGGATGTTCTGCTGGGCGTGTGCTCTGGCGCAGGAGGTGCGCACCGGCAACTTCTACGATGTGGAAGACGACAGCCTCTTTAGGAAGCTAATGGACGGCGAGGAAGAGAGGCAAACGATCGCAACCGAGACGCGGGATGGTTCAGAAGTGCTTCGGGGGGATGCAACGACGCCACCGGTTCAACCATTGATGGGATCCGAAGACGTCGTAGGTGGTGCGAACGTTTCGACTCAATTCCCGCCTGCTTCGATCTCGGCCGGAGAAGAAGACGACGCGCCGTCTTCTACTTAGACAGGGAAGTCGTACGTGCAACCAAAGCTTAGAAGTTACACCGTTTGCAAACATCTTCCGGTGGTGTTTTTGTTCTTCGTTTGTGGTGTGATGAATACGGTCACAGTGGGCGTTCGAAGACGTATTTTATGTAATCGATGTAAATACCATTCTTTTTTATTTTCCACAGGGTAAATCAATGAAAACAAAAGGAGTCTAATATGGGGTGTGGAAAGGATGATGGATCTCATCTCTGTAATTATATTCTCCTATGTTAGTGTTGTTAGTGTCAACATCTTTACGTCGTGGCCTCGGGGCTAATACAGTTGGGTTCGGATCCGAATGATTGGAGATCTTTCTGAACGATTTTTGAGACTGCTGAGGGTCCGATCGCGACGGGGTCATTGTTTTCTCCGGGAGGGGACCCCTCGCCTGGGCCTTCGATGGGAGGCACTCCGTCTTCGTCCCTGCACACAGGTCGGGTCAGGAGAGCTCGACCCGACCCCTCCGACGATTAAGTCAATCGATAGTTTTAGAGGGTTTTCTTATTTTTCCCCCTCTCTTTGTTCCGAACACGAGGATTTTTATAGGGAATGTCACTGTTTCCTGATGTGCCCGTTTGCAGGGAGCAGGATCGTACCTTGGATAACGTCTAACATCGGCATTGGCGTTGCATAAAGGACCGAACTCTTGCAGGATGATGACATACCTCGATCGACGCTGTCAGGTCAGACCGAGGCAGGCGACCTGACAGCGCAGATGACGTTAGTTCATATCCTATCATTATTATTACCCTCATCTAAGTGTCAATCTTCATCGTCAACTCGTGATTTGTGTGATGACTTCAAATGTATTCCAGAGAGTAGACAACACATCTATAAACAGTTCCTAAGCTAAGAAGAGTTCACAGAGCTCGGGGAGCCAATGACTTCCCTTTTGATAGCAGATAAGATCTCTATCTGCTGCTATCACCCTTCACGTTGCGCCTGCTCTTCCTAAGCTAAGAGTCCGACGGCAGGTGGGACGGACTCTGGGAGGCTACCACGGAAATCCCATGTATCAGAACACTTCGATTGGGACTTTCCCTTCTCTCCACCCGGCGTTGCGCCTGCTCTTCCTCCATTCCCATGGCTTCTCAGGGTGTGACGAAGTCCACAGGCCTCTCCGACCTGCGCGTGCTTCCTTCTCCCACTGCATCACAACAATCAGAGATCTCAACGTAGCGCGACGTGTGAATCGGTAAAGTAGCTCACCCTCGCAAATTCCGGGCGCTGATCGTAGGTCGCGTAATGCCAAGCAAAGCCTCCCTTCAGCATCCGCTCCTGCACAACAAAATTGGAGCGATCAATGAATCCCTGTAACCACTAGCAAAGTTAGCATGGTTCTCTCTTCCGCTCCGCACCTGCACAAAGATTCCACCGCAGTATACGTCTCCGACGCTTCGACCATACTGATCGACTCCATACACATGGATCTTTAATGGCTTTCCCTCCACAAGTTTGAGTAGCTCAGCCTTAGCCTCTTTTCCGTAAGGCATTTCGCTCTCGGGTGCATCGATTCCCCTGTTGGCTTGAATGATCACTGCTCATGCAGAACTGAGGTTTCTTAGGAGATTCTAAGCACTGTACCTTAGCCTGATTCGATACTTCCGTGCGAGGATCTCATCCCCGTTTGGGCCAGCCTTGAATCTGTCAACAACCCAAAAATGAGATGAATTTGGCTGATACAAACAAATATTTGGGTTGATGGACTAAGTTCGTTCGACCCATATCCTGCTGCGGTTATGCTCTTCTTCAGCGCGTCTGCTTCCCTATAGTTCCTTGCAGCTCGGGCCGCGGTCCTCTGGATGGCAGCTTGCTGCACTTCCATCGGCACATCAGCGGACTCCTCCGGGGTCGCAGTGTCCACGTACGCCGTGATACCGTCCCCATCCACAACATCCCTTGGATCGATCTGATCATCGACAGCCAATTGCATCAGAATTTGGGACCGTCAAGCCTTAACATGAATACTGTTCTCACAGGAAGCGTGCGTAGCTCAAACTGTACTCCGTCATTCCAGGTTGACGACGACGATGGTGGTGCGTCTACGATTTCGGGAGTCGAAGGAACAGGAAGGTTATAGTAAGCCAACAGACCCTGAAGAAATTGGCACCGTATTATGTCGATCCGACCTAAACTACAATGAAAAGTGTAACTCATATGAGATCTCGAGGTTCACCTCTAAGTCTGCCTTCTGATTCCCTCTGAGCGTTTGGACCACGAGAATGGCGGCCGTCGCTGGGGTCTTCGGTGTTGGCTTGGCTTCCTTCCATGCCTCTAACAGCTTCTTGTACCTGAATCAAGTCAGAGGCACCACACACACACACACACACACACCATTTAATCTCTTCAGCAACCTAACACAACAAATCTTTGATGAGAGTCATCTCGCAGTGCATTTGGTTACCGGTCGACATGGTGTTTCAGAAATTAACAGTCTGTAACTAAGCAAAGTAAGAGCTATGGGTACCAAATAGCCTGCGCCCTCCTGGAGGAAACCACATGGCGGCTTAGTCCTTCCGGAACCTGACACGACAAAGAACCAAATAATGATGAGGAGAAGAGATCTGCCGACAGCTCCAGATGTGATCACCTTAGCTGTTATCTCGTAGTCGAGCAGATCATGAGCGAGGGCAGCAACGCCATGCGGCACCCCCTGGTGGGTTTGGGGCCGATGCGGGGGCGTGGACTCGCCGCAGTCCCCTCTGAGACACCGAAGCAGGGCGTTTCCCATCTCTCCCTTGTCCTTGGTCGCTCAGCTCTCGATGTTCTTCTGCGGAGGATCGGAGTGGGGGAAAGAGTAAAGCTGAGAGCGAAGAGAATATTAAAAGCCTGCTGTGAAGACTTAGAGTCAAGCAGTGGGACCCAGCCGACGCGGACGTCAATAATTGCGCTTGCCTGGATTGCATCGTCAGGTGAGCAGTCCACCGCAGTGCTTCTTTCTCCCGGCAGAAGGAGAAGCAGCACTGGGCCGGCATCAGAGCCGCCGGAGATTTCGATTCAGCGAGACGTATGTAGCTCACCCTTGCGTAATGCCAAGAGAAGCCTCCCTTAATACATGTGAGAAGGTTAGAAAATAGTAGTAACACAATATAGTATAGGAAAGATAGAATTATGGCCCCAAGGTTTGAAGCATCTCTCAGCCAATCAAAATGTTTGAGCTTTCAATGACAAACTTTAATCTCTATGACTAAAAGAAGCTTTTATAAACATTGTTGGTGAACTATTGTATTGTAGCTGATGAGTTCAGCACGGTATGATCCACAGGTCGATGTCGGGAGTCAATAAACGTTACACGACCATCGGGTTGTTGGGCTACGTCATATCCTTCTTGAAATGAAGGATTTCTTCCATTCAGTTCGGCGTAACCTATGTTCCAGTGACGTCGTGGGTTGGTATGGTCGTCGCCATTATGGATTCAATTGCCTAGATTGCCTCCAGGCTACAAGCGGAGGCCGACCTGGCCAAAGCATCGGCCTGTGCGTTCTGCGCCCGAGGAACACTTGTGATCGAGAGGAGATTGAAGCGACGGGTAAGTTGTCTTGCTTCCGTCAGGTATAACGCTATCGTCAGATCTCGAGTCTCGTAGCTCCCGTTGACGTATCCTGTCACCAATTAGGAATCGCTGAAAACCCCGAAGTCATCCACGTGCATCACAAGGCCGAGGCGTAGTCCGTGGAGTAGTCCGTGGAGTAGTGCCTCGTACTCGGCCTGTTGGGAGCTATCGGTCTTTTCGCTGTGATCTTGCCGTCTCTCTTTATTAAGCCTCTGTCTCTTTTTGTTCTTTCTGTGAACTGTGATCTGTCTGTCAACAAGAGAAAGCTTTCATGGCTCCTTTCCTGTGACATCTGTTACCGTAAGTAACTTTTTTAGCCGTGACCTGGGGGTCGACGCGGTTGGTTCAAGGGTCCGAACGACTAGGATCAGGAGAGACTGCAAGACTCGGGATCTCGGGGCGGCCGATCACGGGGAATAAGGCTGGGATGCTCCGCGTCGCCGGGTTGGGTCGGCTTCAACCGAGTACCTGCACTAAGGTCGGGTCGGTGATTCGGCCCGACCCCTCCAACGGTCAAGTTAGTGGTGTAGAGGGGAGTTTTTGGGGAAAATCGCGTGCTTGTCTGCTTACCTTGCCCGCTTGAAGCCCGAGGGTACTTATAGGTGAGTTCGATGTTACCTGACACGCCATCTTGCCGGGGCAGGGCCGTGCACCTGACCCCGTCCGTTGTCGAAGTGGGCGTTGCGTGGACGGTCGAGTCGAGTCGCCGCAGGGTATGGCGAGCCTTGGTCGACGCCATCCCCTGCCTCGTCCGGGCGTGCGTGGTCTGGGTATGGCTAGCGAGGGTGTGCGTCATGCTGACATTAATGTTCGTCTGTTGGGGCAGTGTGCCGTCCGGTCGAGGCTGACAGCGGGCGGTGTTATGTCAAATTTGGTATGTTGCGCCCTATTTGTTTTTACCCCTATCATATTCCCCCCCCGAAAGGAGCCATGCGTCGGTTTTTGCATGTGGGGGGTCCGAGGCGGCTGCTGCCTTTAGGTGAATTGGCCATGCGGGTCCACAGGGCATGTCGTCGGCGGGTCGGTCGGGCGGCGTCGAGCTCGGGAATCACGGGGTCGACAAGGGACGAGGAACACGATGCGGGTGAGCTACCGTGCGGGCGTGGTCTCGGGGGGCGTGCAACCGAGGGCCGAGGAGCACGACGCAGGCGGGTTACCGCGCAGGTGTGGTCTCGGGGGGCGTACAACCGAGGGCCGAGGAGCACGACGCAGGCGGGTTACCGCGCTGGTGTGGTCTCGGGGGGCGTACAGCCGAGGGCCGAGGAGCACGACGCAGGCGGGTTACCGCGCAGGTGTGGTCTCGGGGGGCGTGCAGTCGAGGGCCGAGGAGCACGACGCAGGCGGGTTCCCGCGCTGGTGTGGTCTCGGTGGGCGTGCAACCGAGGGCCGAGGAGCATGACGCAGGCGGGTTACCGCGCTGGTGCGGTCTCGGGGGGCGTGCAACCGAGGGCCGAGGAGCACGACGCAAGCGGGTTACCGCGCTGGTGCGATCTCGGGGGGCGTGCAACCGAGGGCCGAGGAGCACGACGCAGGCGGGTTACCGCGCTGGTGCGGTCTCGGGGCGCGTTTGATTTTTTCTCTGAGGGGGAGTTGATTGCCTCCGCCGCACGTCTTAGGGTGTCGGGCTCGAGGCGTCCGTTGCTGTTTTTGACGGGGCCGCCATGTC